ACGCCCCCCCCAGACCCCCCAATGAGGTTTTGTTTAGTTCGTACAAACACAGGGTTTGAGGAATATCACAACACGCGCACACCACAATCTCTCCATAGAGGTGTCTCTTGCACGCCAGGAAGTGGCGCGCACTTGGACGCTGCACGGGTGACTGTTGTTGCAGAGCCCAAGCAAACACAAACCAGTTAGCCCCTACTCAAGCACTGATCAAATAGAGTTCGTTCACCGTCGTTCATTTTGCATCATGTTGAAAGATAACACTATACGACTTTCCAGATTGCAAAAGTAATGATGCATAGCAGCAATGAACCAGAACCGCCAAACACAACCTCTGCAGTTGGTTGCGGTCCCTGCTGTTGATGCTGCACGCTAATTAGCGGTTCATCATGTACCGGCCCCTGCTGCTGGCGGCCTTCCACTTCTCCAATGCCGCCTCAAAGGGAAACGTGTGCTGGTCGTAAAGGTCTTGCGTGAACATGCGCACGCACAGTGCCAGGTGCTCGTCCAGCCGGTTGCGGGCTGGGTCCTGCAAGTATGCCATTGCTGAGAACCGCCGCTCGTCCTCCACAGACCCGGGCACCATCACGAACACCATCTTAGCCAAAGCTGAAAACTCCGTCAAGGCGCCGGCAAGACCCGGCGCATTGCTGATCCGCTGCCACAGTCGTGAGGTCGGTGTGTCGTCCAGCAGTGCACGGTAGGCGTGCTTGCTTTGCGATGCAAGGGTCTCCCTCCGGCACTCAATGACGTACTCGCGCCCTTTGTGCAGGGAGCATGGGCCGCAGCGCACCATGTCGTGCACCTCCCCCTTACTCACATCCGCCGTAATGCACTGCGCCCATGTAAACATAGCTCCAAAGTAAAGCTGCCACTTAAGGGGATGCTTTTCTTTCTTTTCCAGCCACGCGCCGTCGCTCTGGCCCTTCGCGACCCGCTGTGTCTGTGGTCGGGGCGTCTTTGCGCCGCGGAGTGTGGGGTTAGGAGTCTTAGCTACAGCGCCGGGGTCGCTGCTGCCATCGACCTCGACGCCCGTGTTTCCTGGCCCATCGCGACTGTCTCCATATGAAAAACGTTGACGTTTGGCCCGCTTGCTGCTGACAACCGGAGTAGCATCATTGTCGTCGGCTGGCTGCAGCATTGCGTCCACATTGCCTACGACCTCTAGGCCGTCTTCATTACCGTCGCTAATGGCTTCAGTAAAGTTTAATATCTTCTTTAATGGCCTTCCACGTTTTGGGAGCTTCGGGTCCGAATATTTTGCAGCGTTTGGTCCGGTCAGAAAAAGTCCGATTCCTCGTTGACTTTCGGGCGTGACCTTTCTAACAGTATCCATGGCATTAAAGTACTATAATATGATTAACATGTTTGTCTCCTGTAAGATTCTAGCGGCTTTGGCATGGACAGCCAATTTTTAAGCAGCCTCTCGCACAAATGTGTCCGGTCGTACTTCGCGAATAGAGACTCCGTACATCTCGTCCCAAAAGTCAGGAGCGAATTTTGCCGCGCAGATGCGCGCGTGCGATTCGCAAAATGCGCCTGTACAAATGTATATAAAATTTCTTGGCGGATGAGGACCAGATGCGCCAGCGCGTTGCGCAGGTGGGCATGTTGGCCATAGCCGCACGCTGGACTATTGCGTGGATGCTTTGCAGTAACTAAAAGCACCGAAAGCCAACGTCGTAGCTTGCAACTCTGGGCTCTTGAAACTGCCGCGGAAGATGAAGCGCTGGCGAAGAGGCAGTTGTATGCAGCACCTTGTTCAGAGTAAAGTGAAATTACAAAGTTGCGCAAAGTATAACATACATAAACTTAATTAAACATAAGAACAGATAAGACGTTTAGAGCCTTGTCGGTGACAAGGACGCCGCTGTTGGCTTGGAACAGCTATTTGCTGTGCATAGGGACGTGCCCGCGTTAGCCGTGTGCAACAGCTCAGG